GGATAGGGTCGGCGGCCACCACGGGGAGGGCGACGAGGATGGGGGAGGCCGCGGGGGCGGCGGGGGCAGCAGCCGCGGCGATGGCGGCCATCTGTTCAGCGTGGGCGATGGGGATGGGGACGGCGGGCACCACAGGCTGGGCCACAGGGGCGGCGGCGGCCAGGGGGGCGGCCACGGGGAGGGGGTCAGCGCTCTTCTCAGCGGGGACGATAGCCTGGGCGACGTTCACGACGGGGACGAAGGGGTCGTTGGCGAGGGGGGCGGCGACGGGGGCAGCGGCGACCACGGGGGTGGCGACCACGGGGGCGGCGGCCACGGGGATGGCGGGGATGGCGGGGACGGCCACGGGGGCAGCGACTGGCACGGGGGCGGGCTCGGCGATGGGGGAAGCAGACTTCTCGGCGAAGACGGTGCCCTCAGTGGCGGCCTTCTTGGCGGCGGCGTCGGCAGCGGCCTCGGCGATGGCGCAGTCAGCCTGGTCGGTCTTCACGAAGAAAGTGCGGGAGACCTTGTACTTGTCAAGCACGCCGTAGGCCATCTGCAGCACGGTGCCGGGAGCAAGACGCTCACGGGTCATCACCCAGGCGTTCTCTGCGGAAGAAAGGGACGGAGGGCGTTGTTAGAATGCGCAGCTTGCCTCAACCACTGCGATAAGTCGTGAGGTCGCTTCCGGTGCACTTACGGGCGCGCAGGGGGCCGATGGAGGAGCAGGACCAGACGACGGAGTACGAGTCGTAGTCGGTGTCCAGGACGGAGTAGGTGGTCTCGAAGGGCACGGGCAGGGTGGAGTACTTGACGTTGAGCTTGGACTCGGCGCCCTTCACCACATTTCGGATCTCACCCTCGACGACGCGCTTGATGCCCGTCCTGCAAACCAAACGGCGTCGTTAGTGGCGTGGAAGCCTGAAACCTGGCCGCCTGTTCGCGACGGGGCCGACTCTGTGACTTTGCGACTGCATCACTTTATTTGAGCTACTCACAGTCGGTTGGTGATCTCGTTGTTGACGACGACTCTGCCGTCGACGGCCTTGGTGTAGTTGGTTCTAACGCAGCGGCTGCCGGCCTCCAGGACGGTGAAGTACCTCTCCGCCTCGTACCAGGTGCCGAGGTACTACACACGGATAGGCGGGGATGAGCCACAGGCCACAGTGCAAAACGTCAAGGGGCGGCAGGAAGACAATTGGACTCGACGACACTCACCCTTTCCATGTTGAAGTCCGCCATGGGGACGTATTCGGGGCACCAGCCGAACATGGGCACCTGAGCAAGGGCTACTCCGCAGAGCGCCAACACGAGCAGCGCTGTCCTCATGGCTGCGGGGGAGAGGAGAGAGATGAGACTGATGCTGCGACTCGAGGGGCCGGCCGGGTACTGAGCCTGGACCTGGAGCCCTGGACCAGGGAGGCTGCAGCTGCCCCCTCCAGCCGTATAGCGCGCAGGCACACACGGCCGGCCCGGGCCTGGCTGGGCTGGGCCCCGGCCGGGTTCAAGTTCAAGGGCAAGGAACGGGTCGTGCCATAAGTCGCTTAACGGTGAACGGGTGTTTATGACTGAACGGGGCGGTCCAAACGAGCCGATGCAGGGGGCGGGGGAGACGTACTGGCCGCCTCATCTAGTCCCGATAATTGAACATGTACAATTTGACATGTCCAAAGCTCACAAGAAAAAGCGTCCGCTGATTCAGCTTTTAGCATAGCTGATGCGGAACAGAATTTAGCAAACACTGCCATATCCTCGCTTCCGCAGGGCACCCTCAGATGTGAACTACATCGCGTGAACTACGACGTCTGAAATGAGGCCCCAGTGTCGAAATTCTTTCAGTAAAACAGCTATGGTATTGGCTTGACACTTCTTTCTCAGTGCGGAACATGCAAAATTTTAGCGACACTTTACAAAATATCACAAAAATCAATGAAAACGTTGGCACTGGTTTCACGCAATTAATTGTTAGACACGATGAAAGCAAAGGGATTGAGAATTGAAATATTCGCGACGAGAAAATTAAGGGTTTGCTTGAGAAAATAGATCTCCTCGTTCCACTTGAATTGCGAGATCACGGAAACGTCTTCGAGGGTCCAGTCGATTCCGATCGCGATGGGGCGTCCCTGTTGGCGTCGAAGGGCTCCACCACGGACACTCACCTGGTGTTGTGTGTGTGTTCGCTTTTGGTTCCCGAAATGCTGCTTGGGCTGCTCTGGCCGGAGTGCTTTTAACAGCAGACCGTGGCACTGCTCACGCTTATATACTCCAGCTACGCTGCCCAGGCTCCAGCGCCAGGCTCCAGGTCCCCGGCGCGGGTGCTGCAGAAAGTGGTGGGGGGACCCGAGGGCCCCCCTGCCTCAGCACGCACCCCCTCGTCCTAAAGCTCGAGCCCCCTCCGCGGCCTGTCCGGGGCGCACGTCCGCGCGCATGCCGGCGCGCACACGCGCACGTGCGACGAACTCTCCAGATCCACCACGGTCCTGCGCGGCACCTACCACCGGAGGTCGCACCGCCCACGCGATCCGACGACTCGATCATAACCCGAGTACTTACACCCGCATGTCTGTTGTCAGGAGCCCTCGCTCGCGCGTGCGGGTCTCTGAGGGTGAACTTACCCTCCATTTCCTCACTGGTAGCGCAAAAGCGTGAACGTCGCACACTCCACACTCGAAGGTGTGTGAACAACATTCAAGTGTGCGAATTTCAATGAAATTTTCATATTTCTACTCTCTTGAGAGTACTATTAGGCATTATTCACACACTTACAAGCGTTAGTGAGGCTAGAGACGTACGGAAGGAACAGTCTGAAAGGGCTGCTGTTCTTCAACAGCAGCGACTTATCGTTGTAATCAGCTGTTCGAATTGTCGGACGAGAAAGCGTAGCAAGAGACGAGCAATGACGGGCCTTTTACGGCACCCGAATGTCCACCGGACCGTTTTTTGTTTGTCTTTATTTTTCTTCTTCTCTCGGGATGACGCATTCCAAGGTTATGGAGGAATAAAAACAGATTTCCTAGAGTTTGTGACAAAGCGTCGAGGAAAGTTAAAAGTAAAATGAAAGTGTGTGAAAGGTGTCATAGCAACAAGGTACAGCGTGTTTTTTTTGGTCAAATCTGCAACACAATAATTGAAAGTTTTTACAGCAGTCACTGTACAGTAGTGCTCTGTGACCCACAGCGTTAAGTCCCTTCCGTCTCACGGCCAAGTATCTCCGTTGTTGTCCCACATTCCAAATTTATCCTCTCTTTTTTTCCCGTTGCCACTTCCAGTCGGAGGCCGGCCGGCCGGCCGGCCGATCAGATCGGCACATGATGATGGCAGGCAGAGGTTGTTGACCCCTACCGTCCAGGCTCCCAATATATTCCTTTGTCTTCCTGCTGTAGTATAAGTACACTGAAACGTTCACAATTAATGTACGATATATAAAACTCGATCAAAAAACCATTCAACCAACAAATAAGCTCTATAGGGAGAAACTATTTTCAATAAGCTTGAAAATTACAAGTGAACATCGACCGTTATACAAGATGAAGTCTATTTAGCATTTTTACTTTTTTCTCGGGGAGGCAGACCTGTTTTGCTTTCGGCTTCTGTTTAGTGCAAAATACGCAAATTATCGAAGGTGGTTCGTTCTGTATTGTTGGGAAGAGAGCTAACAGCAGGCCATCGGGCATGCGGTGTTCGTTGGGCAGAAAGGGAAGGGGAGGGGGGGAGCTGTGGCCGGGGGGATGGGAAATAAAAGCGAGCATCAGGCGATTCGGAGCCAATCAGAGAACGGCGGTGCGCGCCCCGCTACATTCGGCAGATTTGTGGCTCACGGCGGCGGCCAGTTGCCCTGTGGAGGGGCCCTCCTGGCCGCCCCACCCGCCCC